ACCAGCTCAGCAGGCATGGAGCATCCCTGTGTAGCTCTAGGCTGACTAGCACTGCTGTGGCCATGAGCAGCTGGGCACCTGCAGGACTTTGGGGATGGTACCATATTCCTTTCTAAATTGATTTGTTAGAGGTTATAATGGTTGTTGCAACTATCACAATCAGCAAAATGTAGTTGGTATGTACTTGTGGATGTGACTGAATTAAGCCCACTTAAAACATGGGAGGAGGGGGGAGAGGGAGGAAAGGGGTGGTTTTCCTGGACAAAAGTGTACTATTACAGTCTATTACCCAGGGAGTTTCCTTTTGGAAACAAATGCTACAAGAGGGTGTTATAGTGGCTCAATCTGTAGGTGAAGTTGTATATGAGAGGGCTACTTTTCCTCTTGGTCATAGTTGTTCAGAGCTTCTTTTTTCTTTTTAGTTTAAGCTTATATCCCAGGCATATGAAGTTCTGTCGGACCCAAAGAAAAGGGACCTCTATGACCAGGGTGGGGAGCAGGCTATTAAAGAAGGAGGCCTGAGTGGCGGCAGCTTCTCTTCACCCATGGACATCTTTGACATGTTCTTTGGTGGTGGAGGCCGAATGAATAGAGAGAGAAGAGGTACACAGTTCTAAACAAGTTCTAGAAACTCTAACCGTGCACTTAAGCATAAAACACCTGTGCTATGGTACTGCTGTTCTGCTGAGTGCACATAGTGTGGATATTACTTATTGCAACGATAGAATAAGTAAACTGATTTTTCTAGTTACTCCAGCATTAAGAGTCTAATAAAGTAGATAACATGGCTTAGCCATAGCCATCTTTCTACTGATTTCTGTTTTATTTTTTGTTGAAGGGGGAATGGGTAGTCTGTAGGGGAGGGGGAAACATCAGTAAGTCAGGAGTTGATTTAGACAACTGTTTAAGTTACTTTTTTTCCAAATCTCTGCCTCACTTGCTCATGTGCTTTTGGGCAACTTGCTTCAAAGGACACCATCAACTTAAACTTCAGTAATCTTAAATCCCATTAAAAAATATTTGGGAGAAATTACATGATACTGAGTACAGTGTGCTGCCAAAAGCATGATAAGATTTTTGTTTTTTCCATGCCCAGTGCTTGTTAAATGAGCAAGTAGTAACTTGCTGTAAAAAGCACTGAAATTATGCTATGAAGTGGCATGGAAATTCATAGGCAGGCATAAATAGCAACTTCTAAATTGACAGATCTGAAGCTGGTAGTGTCCTTGCATCTTGCTGTTTCAGTTAAGCTTACAAAATTAGGAGTAGGGATAGGGTGGCTTTAATGATGCTTTGCTTAATTACAGCTCAACTTTTGTTTGGAAATAAATGGGTGGAACTTAGTGGAAGCTGATGGAATTGCACATGCTTTTAAGGGGGCTGACTTGTGTTCAAAGTTTGGAATGAACTCTGCATTTCTTGAGACTGTGCATGAACATTTTTCTTCACAAGAGCTGAACAAGTATTAATACTTCCCTTTTTTTTTTCCCTAAAGGCAAAAATGTGGTGCACCAGTTAGGTGTATCTCTTGAAGACCTATATAATGGCATTACAAGGAAACTGGCACTGCAAAAGAATGTTATTTGTGCCAAGTGTGAAGGTAAGAAAAAAAAAAAAAAGTAGTGGTTTCAAACCCTCTTCAAGTTGTTTGTGTAGATTGTCTGAGGCTGAGAAAGTCTGAAGGCTTTCTTACTTTCCTCTGTCTTCTTTCTTTGCCTGATCCCTGAAAGCCTGCCAGGGTATTTAAGTCTTACTTGAGCTTAACCAAAAGTAAGTCTCTCAACAACAGTGTTACAAAGTGATTGTTCTAATTGAAAACTAAAACTCACTGTGAGTTGCAGTTAGGGATACCTAAATTAAAATTGTCTTCACCCAGAACTTGGATGTAAATGTTATTCTGTAAAACTTCTTTAATTGCTGCAGGTGGAAGACTAGCTTGTGT